CTTCATCTACGGATTCTTTTAGCTCGGCATCATATACTGGCAGTAGTTCTGATGACGGCGACGATGTACCGCCACGCGAAAAAGTTCAAAAGAATACCAAAGGCAATTCGGACTTTTGTGTACGCAACATTGCCGGTCAGCATGCTTTTGGTCGGCGAGAAATCGAAATTGCCGAACAGGAGATGCCGGGTATAATGGCACTCAGGAAGCGCGCTGCCGATGATAAGCCGCTAAAAGATGCTAAAATCGTCGGCTGTACGCACATCAATGCACAAACAGCGGTGCTCATTGAGACTTTAGTGGAGTTAGGCGCATCAGTACGTTGGGCTGCATGCAACATATACTCGACGCAGGTGAGTAGCAATATTGTTAGAAAGTAACGAGTGGGTGAGTAACAGCTGTTGCCATATGGTGTGGGTAGCACTATGTACAGAAGTACATTCATATACACTATGTATAATTATGTATTCACACGTGCTTTAAAACAGAAGTTATGCAAATATTCCAATCAAAATAAAATTCGCGTAGTAGTAAAAGTAGGCGCAAGTTTTAATATACTTAGTTGCATGAAGCTTACTAGCAATTAAGCACGAGATTCTGATGACAGTTAGTAGAAATACATAACTTTTATAGCTTATAAATTGAATACTTTTAGTTAACCCAATTCATTTGTTCATAATATTAAGTTTTTATCTACATATCTATATATTTCCTAACAACAATGATTCATAGGAATATATTACAAATCGATTCTGCATTTATTGACACTTGATTTAGAGAAAAACTTTTGATAAAACGACCTAAATAAGGTTCAATACTGGCGTCATGCAAGAACGATGTACATTTTTTATCATTTCGTTCCATAAAGGTTTATATGTACATACCTACATACATACATATGTATACTAAGAATTAAAAGTAAGCTCATGTGACTTTGCCCAAAATGTCTACTAAATAAGCATTCATATCGATGTGCCAGTAAATTCTCTCCTGCACCCAATATACCCATGTATATATGTACATTTCCACTATGCCCTTCCCACAATGACAATAGCGCCAATAGAAATTATATATGTATATGGGTGTTTCCATGAAAATGTAAACCGAAAATGCTGCAAGTAAATGGGTTCAATCTTAAAATTTCGTATTCAGACATCGCAAAGAAGTTATGAAAATGTGAAACTGTGACGAAAAGAACTGTAAAAATTAAAATTAAAATTATATACATACATATCAAGATATTATTCAATAAAATATTGTATGAGGAAATATCTGTCACGTCCGATATGCCCCGTCCGTTATCACATTTTAATTCAAAATAAAACCAACAACGAATTGCTTCTTATTAAATATAAATTGGTTGTATTGGTCCATAATATGAATTTATTTAAGGAATGTTTAAGGAAGGAAAGCTTCACAGGATTTGCAGATTTTATAGCTCTAAAATCGTACGAATATCACGTCCGACATCATGGAAACACCCATATATGTGTTTGCTTGTGTGAAGATTGTAAACGATTTATGATTGAGTATATTCCACTACACTCGCGTTCAGAAAACAAACGGCTGGCTGTATGCGCAACAGTGCATAGATTTTCGTTTAATTGGCCAGCTAAGCAATTATAACTCTGAAATGAAATGTTCAATGGAAGTTGAAATGATGTCAGTTATACATATTAAGAAATATGTTAAGAACCCTCCAATCTTAAATCAAGCTTATCGATACATACATACCTTTATCGAGCCCTAACTGCCGAAAAGATGTGATCGACACTTTTTTCAACATTTTCTTTTGATGCAGAAATGTTCCTGGAGCATCTACAAGCATTTCTGCATCAAAAATAAAATTTTGAAAAAATATCGCTTACATCGTTTTGGCGGTGATGGCTCGATTTGTATGAATACACGTATCTGGTTCTATTTAGTTTGTCAAGTCTACAAATGGAGAGTTACTAATTGCCAGATAACACATCGGTTAACGCCTAAAACTGATATTCACCTGTGTCTGCATATTGGTCTGTATACATATATTAAATAAGCAGGTACTATGTGCGTATATATGTACCAGGCTTTAAAAGCAAATATTAGCATGAGCAAATTGTTTGCCGCTAAGCATTTATCAGCTTTTGTAATCGTATGCTTGCAAACTGAAATATGAATTTAATATTTAGCGATAATGTCAAAGTAATTGAGCGTTTTTTTGAATGCATCACAAACACATGCATTATTTATAAAGCGTTAGGCTTATTTAGAAATGTATCAGTTTTGTGCTGAACCGTTTTATTCTCAAAAGAATTTAAGTATGTGCCTACACTAAATCGGAGTAAGATTATTTTATATATTTAATAACAAAAAAAAAAAAATAGTTAAAAATAAACACACCTTAGCTAAATAATGCATTAAATTGCCCAAAACGAACTTTTAGCATCCCAGTTTTTCTACAATAGACACTCACAGTAGTGTTAATTGACTTTATTAGCGCTTTATAACGCACAATCCTACAATTGATATACATATAAAAGCAAGTGTTAATTGATTTTATCCTTCTCCACCTCACTCTTGCAGAACGAAGTTGCCGCCGCCTTGGCTGAAGCGGATATTCCGATCTTTGCATGGCGCGGAGAGACGGAGGAGGATTTCTGGTGGTGTATCGATCGTTGTGTAAATGCGGAGAGCTGGCAACCGAATATGATATTGGACGATGGCGGCGATGCAACGCATCTAATGCTGAAGAAATACCCCACAATGTTCAAGCTTGTAAAGGGCATAGTGGAGGAGAGCGTTACAGGGGTCCATCGTCTGTATCAATTGTCCAAAGCTGGCAAACTAACTGTGCCTGCAATGAATGTCAACGATTCGGTAACGAAAACGAAATTTGACAATCTCTACAGCTGCAAGGAATCTATACTGGATAGCTTGAAACGTTCAACGGACGTTATGTTCGGCGGCAAACAAGTGGTCGTTTGCGGCTATGGTGATGTTGGCAAAGGATGTGCACAGGCGCTAAAGGGACAAGGTTGCATTGTATATATAACGGAAATAGATCCGATTTGCGCATTACAAGCCAGCATGGATGGCTTCCGTGTTGTTAAGTTGAACGAAGTGATACGCAACGTGGATATTGTGGTCACAGCGACCGGCAATAAGAATGTAGTTGTGCGTGAGCACATGGATAAAATGAAAAGTGGTTGCATCATATGCAACATGGGTCACTCAAATACCGAGATCGATGTGAACGGCCTGCGTACCCCGGACTTGACATGGGAGAAAGTACGTTCGCAGGTGGATCATATCATCTGGCCAGAGGGCAAGTATATTATATTGTTAGCGGAGGGTCGCCTCGTCAATTTGTCATGCTCCAGCATACCGTCGTTCGCTGTGTCAATTACTTCAGCCACGCAAGCGCTCGCCTTAATCGAATTGTTCAATGCTCCTCCTGGCCGCTACAAGTCCGACGTATATTTGCTGCCGAAGAAAATGGACGAGTATGTGGCAAGCTTACACTTGCCAACGTTTGATGCACATCTGACAGAATTGACGGATGAACAGGCTAAGTATATGGGTCTAAACAAGGCCGGACCTTTCAAGCCCAACTACTACAGGTACTAAAAATTGTAGAGTGGGAGAAAAAGCGCTGTGCAATTCTGGAATGGTTTGTGTGGGTATGAATGAGAATTGAGAACAAACGAAATGGATGGCACGCGCAAACTGCCAACGAAAGTATTCTAATTTGGAAACGTTTCAGCTAAGGTTGAAGTTATTGCTGAAGCAGAGCTTAATTACTATAAATGGTTAAAACAATTGAACACGACATGGAGAAACACTTATTACTAAAAAAAAAAACATTCAGACACCAACACATCAAAACAATAATTACATAATATGTACATTAATAAGAGCAAAAAATATTTAGAGCAGCAAAAATTTAGTTAGCTTGCATACAAATTTATTATGCTTAAGCATATAAAGAGTATCTAAGGCTTAGTAGGAAATTTCAATAAAATCCATTGTAAAAATGCATATACTGAAAGTTTAGTTACTAGTTTAGAATTTTCTCCAAAATGGAGAAACACTTGCCTATACAAAGCCAAGGCTGTAGTGAAGATTTAATATCGATGATAACATTAACATGCCACCTCCGATGGCAATGAGCTCATGACAAACTAAATTTTAGTACATAACACTAACACAAATGGAAAGAAAATAAACTAAGCCGATCGTAAAACAAGAACGCTTGTATTTGCATACGCCGTACTTACATATGTATGTATGTTTAATGGATTTTTTATCCTATTTTACAGAAAAGCAATTTTAAGTATTCTTTGAAATGTGCATAATTCATTTAGGGTACTGTTTGTTTTAATTTAGAACATTTTGTTTTCGAAACTTTGGCTATAGCAAACTGCGGCTATGACCGCCAATTATTTTTTTAACTCGCAATTTTACACAGGAACAACATTTCGCAATTTTTAGCTTGTTATACTAGTTAAAAATTTTAATTTTTTGCATTTAGCATAATCGATCCAGGCATTTTGCTATTAAGTTATGCAGCGAATAGAAAATTAATTCCATTTTTTTCTTTCAAATTTATGTACTTACACATACATATGTATGTATATTTATTGCTTACACAATTGTATTATACGCTAGTTATAACGTAAAAAACGAACTTTACTTATGTACATGCATTAAAATGTATTACAAGTAAAAAAATGTTTGTAAAAATAAAGCAACGTTTAATAAAAAAATGATTGTTTTGAAATCAATGTGTGGGCGGTTACCCAAGGACATCGATGATAGGACGACATCGAAATAACGACAAAGCGGAGTTGAGGGATTCAGGTATTCACATATGGCTGCGCATATCTTGGAAGTATAAATATATACATATAAATTCAAAACCTTTTTAATAACTTTCTAATGGTCATACCAACTTAAAATCCATTTCTTGAAAAAATTACATACCCGTTCGCATCCTGGAAATTCAACAACTCCCAATGTAGTTTTGAAATTTTAAACGTCTCGCTTTATTTTAAATTCAATTGTCAGTTAATCCAAAGTTTATATCTATTGCAATATTATAACGTATTTAATATTCAAGATGGAACATTAATTGGTATAGTTTGTTTAATACCTCCGTTGGCGGTGGACGTTTCCATGCACCCTTTTTAAATCTCTAAATAATAGTGATAGCCGCGCATCAGTTCTCAATTTTCAAATTATGCATAGTTATATCGGCATACAAACATACATATCTAATATAAATTTTTCATCTTCACTCTACGTTAGCGACAAGCGTGTTCTACAATCAAGACGTTAAAACATAAACTTAAGAAAACTTAGTGAAAAATGCTTTAAGACTTTTTACCAGTCAAAATTTACAAACATACGTATATCAATATCAAATTTGCAAAAAAAAAGTTCTTAAAAACTATGTATGTTGCAAATGTGTAGGCTACAATTTTAGACAGTGAAGCGAATTAGGCAAATAAAATTGGAAATGTTCTATTCCTATTCTTCGTCTAATTTAAGGAATTGATCCGCTTGTGGACTTTAATCGCCGCCTCTCCTGATCCAATCGTAGCTGTCGCATTATTTAATCCAGAAAATGTGGCTTCAAGTGCTTCAACATGCCAAAAGTACGGAAGCGCTTCACTTTCATCACTTTCATTAGTTCATCATCGCAAATGGCAAATTGTTTATTTTTAGGATCATACAAGTTGCGTTCCTTTATTATGGCCCAAACTTTTTTGACTACTTCGTGACGCGGTAGTGATTCTGCACCCATTAGTGCTGAAAGTTCTGGTGATAGGTTGTATGCACGCGTAAATCCAGTGGATTTGCGGCCGGAGCCACCACCACCACCACCACCGGCACCGCCAGCAGCTTTCTTCTTTGGGGCCTTCTTCTTTGGTACTTCATAATCAGAGTCTGACCCAGACCCCGATTCGGACCCTGAACTAGATTCATTTGCGGGCTTTCGCTTCTTTGCAACCTTGCGCGGCGTCGGCTGGGGGCGCTTCTTGGCTGTTTTCTTTACGACTTCCTCCTCCTCAGATGCTTCTTCTTGTTCCTCCACGGAAGCGTCACTTTCTTCCTGTTGCTCGTTAATAAAATCCATAACAATGCTATCTATATCCTTCTTACGACTCAATAGGGAACAGTTCAGCTTCTTCTCCACTTGCTCGCGCACTTTCTTCGCAGACACGACCGAAAGGTCCGCAGTCTTCAGTATGGCATTGATTTCTGCTTTCAAATCCTCTTTTGAAATATCAGCCATTTTGTTCGCTGTTTACTCTAGTTACGAATAACTATTTTATTATTATAGGATATTTGATTTTATAATAAATATTTTACTTTAAAGCAGTAGCGGCAAATTTTTCGACGAAACGTGAAGCAGAAAACGTGAAATGTGATAAAGCGAAAGACAAAAGTCGGCGTCTTAACAGTGAAGATGGTAACTTATCGTTCTTCTATCGAAACTCGCTGAAGGTCGGCAAAAATGGAGAGGAAAAAAACTGGTGGCTGTCCGTCTAGCGGGCATTGAACAGTCTGCGCAGATCGTTTGTGAAAACTAATTTATAAATGCATTTAGCAATAAATTAAAAAAAAAACACATTTAGCATTTAGCAGGAACACTGATTCAAGTTTCGTCAAGAAAAAGATTTTTGATCTAAGCAAAGAACGTAAATGTACCAAAGACCGTTAGTTCTTTGTCGCTTCTTATACATTTACGTTCTTTGGTCTAACTCTAAAATTTGTATTAATATGGCATCTCGCTAAAATACCTTGTTTTATTTGTTTAATATGGTATCACCACAGAGAAAACTGTCAAAAAAGCAAAAATTAAACGAATGTCGAAAACGAAATAAGCAATAATTATAAATTTTGCGACGTCTGTGTATAAAATTGTAAAAATTTCATATAAACTGTTAGCCAAATATGTATAGACAATTGAGAATTCTTAACCAAGTGATTAATTTTCAGAAGGTGCTTGAATTGAAGACTATCAAAGTTTGGGAGTTGCAAAAAAACTACCGGGTTCTGATTGGGCTGCAGCCCTAGATTCCACAAATTTACAAGTGCATACTGAATTTGGACGTAAGTGGAGAAGGCGTCATTTCAGGCACGTCTATTGTTCTAATTTCCATTCTAAAATAAGGGGCAAACTGTAAACTATATAAGGTAAGTGAAAAAGTTTGGAGTTACGCTTCCAGGGAACCTGTAAAAATGCAATGATTTCTTTACAGCAGGGAAAAGTGGCTTGTAAACTGTTAGTACAAATGCCCATAGCTCATATTTATAAGTAGTACTATGCATGTATATTTGTGTATTCAGCTGCCTTGCTATTAAAAGACCCCATAGGCACAACAGATTAGTCAGCTGGCGTGAGCACTCGCTCAAATGCAATTCTCGGCGTGCTGCATTCACTATCACTCATTTATTTATAAATTTTAGATTATCTGCTACACAAAAGTAGTTTATACGTATGTATTTATGTTAGTTGCAATAAACATTCACACATTGTGTAGCTAAGCCATCCATTATGTTTAGTCGAGCTGTTGCCGGCATGTATCCTATGCATACAGATGTATACACATGTTCCTTTGTTTGCCGGTGGTGTTACGCCCAAAATATCAATATCAATTTTCATTTGCTGGTACTTGGCCTGTCGCAATCGAATAAAACCACTATAGCAAAATCGACTGCCTGAAAATGTTATCAACAAACTGCCGATGACTTTTACGGTTGAATTGTCCCCTCATAGTCCATGTTGGATTGTATATTTAGTGAAGTGAAATGAATACTACATTAATACAGGTTTTGTTGACTAGTAAGGTTTACACTGCCACTTATAATGTTTATAATGCTTAATTTTTCCTCATATTGTTGCAATAGTTCGTTCTGGTCAGTGTCGGATTTAGGATCTATGGACCCTAGGCTCTTTCCGTGGTGCGGGCCTCCCAGGGAGTACTAGTTTTAAATTTTTTAAAGTTTGTAAAAAGGTAAAAATTACGATACGGTTTTTTTATACAATCTAAAAGTACATGCTTTGTAATTTTTAAACCACGTTAAATTTTTTTGTTTTGCATAGTAGTATTCAAGGCGAATTTATATTATTTCGCCATGGTAGTATGGGTATTGACGAAAATAAGTTTGTAATTTTTCACATATCTACTGATTCCGGGATCTAGGTCTTTTTTAAGTTCCGAAAATCTCGTGATTCTTAAATTTGAAAAATATGAGCAATAAAAAAACTGAGTAAAAAATGTTTAATGCAATGTACTTAGAAAACCAGTATGAATATCAAATTAAAGCGAAAATTCTGTATTATTAAAACAGATTAGATTTGTTGGTGCATAAGGACGGGATGGCATTGAAAATGTTCTTTTAAAACTTAAAACTTGAATATCCTTGAAATCGTATATTTTTTTTGAAGAAATTAAGAAGTGTCTATTTACACGCGCCGCGGTAACAAATTACCGTAGATCCACGTTAAAAGATTACCGTACATCCACTGTAAAAAATTAACTTATATCCGCGGTAAATATTACCGTAGATCCACTGTAAGACATTGCCGTAGATCCACGGTAAAAATTTCGGTAGATCCAATGTATTTTCTAAAAATTACCGTGAATTCACGGTAATTTACGAAGTGCGCGATTAACTACCTTTCAATGTAGATCTGCCTATTAAGTAATAAGGATTTCTACAGTAAGTAGTAAGGATTAGACATGGATTAGACAAGCATTAGAGACGTGAGCCATTTAACAGTAGTAAGAGTTTTTTTTTTTTAAATTTTGAATTGTGTCGTTATTGCAGAGAACCATCGATATGTATATGTACATGTACCAGATTTTTATAACCAATAACAAAAAAAAGCTATCTCGCTTAACTCGCGGGACACCTTCAAATGATTCACAATTTTTGTTTCACTTATTTTCCTGTTTCACAAATGTCGTCAGTAAAAGCATAATTTAAGAATAGATACTAAACTGAAAGTCTACAAAGATACATACATAATGAAATAGAAAAAAAATAATCAATGAAAGTAAATATATGCCTCCATTAATATACATACTTAATAAAATATATAACTATTTTGCGCTTAATATGAGACCAAAAGGTGAGCAGAAAAGAAGCGTTGATCATTTCAAAACGATCAGACACTACATGCAAGATATAAAAACATGTGTTGTTTGTTTTTCAAAAATGTTGAGAATGAAATCCCACCTACGCAAAATGAGAAACCTATGCATGTACATACAGTATTGGCCAATACAATGGCACCCCTATTTCAAAATGATATTGTTTCCCATTCATGTTTATTTATTTATTTTTAGGAATTTTCAATTAAAATACAGTTCATTCTCTAACAAAACCCATATTAACCCTAGTTCAAAACAGCCGAAGCTTCTTCCATATAAAAATGAATTGTGTTTATTCATTATATGGAAGCAAATGAGACAAACAAAAAAAATCTAAAAAATCAACGGGAATTTTTAGCCACTTGAAAATTGCACAT